AGCGAGAGAGGGAGAAAGGGCTAGATTGCGCACGCGTGTGAGAGAGATGCAGCGAGAGAGGGAGAGAGTGCTCGATAGCGCACGCGTGTGTGAGAGAGATGCAGCGAGAGAGGGAGAGAGTGCTCGATTGCGCACGCGCGTGCGAGAGAGATGCAGCGAGAGAGGGAGAGAGGGCTAGATTGCGCACGCGTGTGTGAGAGAGATGCAGCGAGAGAGGGAGAGAGGGCTAGATTGCGCCAGTGCGTTTCAATAATAAAATGATCGCGTTAATAGAATGAGCAACTGACGTGGAAACCGAGCAGAGAATGCAGCGAGAGAGGGAGAGAGGCGTGAGATAGCGCACGCTCCGTGCGGAGAAGTGCAGCGCAAGAGAGGGAGAGATGTGCCTAGATGTGGCACAGCACGTGTGAGAGAGATGCAGCGAGAGAGGGAGAGAGTGCTCGATTGTGCACGCGCGTGTGAGAGAGATGCAGCGAGAGAAGGAGAGAGTGCTAGCTAGCGCACACGCGCGTGTGAGAGAGATGCAGCGAGAGAGGGAGAGAGTGCTCGATAGCGCACGCGTGTGTGAGAGAGATGCAGCGAGAGAGGGAGAGAGTGCTCGATTGCGCACGCGTGTGTGAGAGAGATGCAGCGAGAGAGGGAGAGAGTGCTCGATTGCGCACGCGTGTGTGAGAGAGATGCAGCGAGAGAAGGTGCTCGAAGCGCACGCAGTGTGCGAGAGAGATCAGCGAGAGAGGGCAGAGTGCTCGATAGCTGACGCGTGTGTGTAGAGAGATGTCACGAGAGAGGGAGAGATGTGCTAGATTGCGCACGACGTTGTGCGAGAGAGGGAGGAGTGGCTCGATGCGCACGTCCGTGTGTGAGAGAGAATGCAGCGATGAGAGGAGAGGAGTGCTCGATGCGCACTGGCTGTGTGTGAGAGAGAATGGCAGGGAGAGCGAGGAAGAGTGCTCGATTGCCCGGCACAGCGTGTGTGAGAGAGATGCAGGGCGAGAAGAGGGAGAGAGGTGCTCCGATAGCGCACGCGTGTTGAGAGAGATGCAAGCGAGAGAAGGGACAGAGTGCTCTGCGATTGCGCACGAGCGGTGTGTGAGAGAGATGCAGGCGAGAGAGGGAGAGAGTGCTCGATTGGCGCACGGCGTGTGGAGAGAGATGCAGCGAGAGAGGGAGAGAGTGCTCGATTGCGCACCTGCCGTGTGTGGAGAGAGATCAGCGAGAGAGGAGAGAGTGCTAGATTGCGCACGCGGTGTGTGAGAGATGCAGCGAAGAGAGGGAAGAGAGTGGGCGCTCGATTGCGGCACTGCTGTGTGTGAGAGAGATGCAGCGAGAGAGGGACAGAGTGCTCGATTGCGCACCAGCGTGTGTCTCGATAGCGTACAGCGCGTGCGAGAGAGATGCAGCGAAGAGGGAGAGAGTGCTCGATGCGCACGCGTGTGTGGAGAGAATGCAGACGAGAGATGAGGAGAGAGTGGCTCGATTGCGCCGGGCGTGTGTGAGAGAGATCAGCGAGAGAGGAGAGAGTGCTCGATTGCGCACAGGCGTGTGTGAGAGAGATGGCATGCGAGAGAGGGGGACAGAGTGCTCGATTGGCGCACAGTGCGCGTGTGCGAGAGAGAATGCAGCGAGAAGAGGGAGAGAGTGCTAGATGCGCACGAGAAGCGTGGTGCCGAGAGAGATGCAGCGGAGAGGAGGGAGAGAGTGCTGCGATGCCGCAGCAGCGTGTGGTGAGAGAGATTGCAGCGAGAGAGGGGAGAGAGTGGGCTAGATTGCGCCCACGTGCGTGTGCGAGAGAGATCAGCGAGAGAGGAGAGAAGTGCTCGATAGCGTAGCGGCGCGTGCGAGAGAGATTGGCACGTGAGAGAGGGAGAGAGTGCTCGATTTGCGCACCGGCATGAGCGTGTGGTGAGAGAGATGCAGCGAGAGAGGGAGAGAGTGCTCGTTTAAGCGCACCGGCGCAGGTGTGAGAGAGATGCAGTGATGAATATGGAGGGATAGGCAGTTTGTGGGAGAGAGAGGAGGGCGAGTGCTTGATAGCGCACGCACATGCGATAGAGATGCAGCAATGGATATAGAAGGATCGGGAGTTTGTGCGAGTGCGAGGGAGAGATAGAGGGGAAGGAAGAGAGAGGGAGGGAGGGAGGAAGGGAGGAAGCAGGCAGGCGGGCGGCCAGGAGTGATTGAGCGAGGGAGAGAGAAAGGAGAGTGTGAGAGAAAGAGAGAGAGTCAGCGAGTTTGTAGAGTAAATCGAACACGAGACAGATGCGAGTGTCAGAGGGAAAAAATAGTCAGTGAGATGGGTCATAAATACTAAAAAAAAAAAAAAAAAAAAAATAACAAAAAAAGATTTAATAAGAAAAAAAAATAAAAAATTAAAAAAAACAATACATAGAAAGAAAATAAAACATAAAAAAATAAATAAAATAATAATTAAAACCAATAGAGGAAGAGAGATAGGGAGGGAGAGAAAGGAGAGAGAGGGGGAGAAAAAGAGCGAGAGAGAGGGAGGGAAAGAGAGCGAGAGGGAGGGCGAGAAAGAGGAAAACATTTGAAATTTGCTTTTGTCTACACCGACCTGATATGTATCCACTTGTTTATGCCTACAGACACGGTGTGATTGCATGCAACCTTACCTGTAATGCAAACTTCGCAGCACCCATAGCCTTGCCGTCAGCAAAGCTAACAGTCCGATAGGCCCTGCAACAATCACCCACTCTGTCACATAATACAAATAATACAGCTGTTTCACAAAGATGGAAATCACATTTAAAAAATAATTATCAAAATAGGGGAAAATGAGACTACGTATGAAAGCTCAAATCTCAACAGCTTAGCATCACTTCTCACATGGCATTTAGAAACTTGTTACTAATGGGAAATGGACTTTGAACTCTTTATACCAACATTTCTATACATAAAACCTTAAAAAAAAGTAAGACAACAGATTACAGAAAAAACATTATTGCACAAAGGATTGCAATTATAGTGGGTATTATATTTTATATTGATTAGTAAAACCTGTGTTTTTCATGGGAAACAAGCCAGAAACCCTACTTACCTACCGATTTTGTACCAAAACAAACATTGACAGGTGAGCGATTGTTCACGTATTGGATATTTGACATTAGCCTTAACTTTACGATGCTACTGACAATGAGCCCCACATTTCAGGGCAAATAAATAATTTAGTGAAAGGTGGTGGGTCTAGAATCTAGATAGCAGTTACCTACCAGCTCCGCAAATAAGCACACGCTTCCCAATGCCGACTCCAGCTCTCCTGCACGCATGCACACCAAACAGCTAGCGGCTCCAGTAAGGCTCCTTCCTCAAAGCTCACATGATCTGGCAGTCTGCCAAAACGCAAATGAGGAAATGTTGATCAGTAATCGTTCAAAGTTGCATCACTCGCTCATTCAGTTTTTGTAATCGTTGATTAACATCTGCATGAATTTAAATTAATTTTAACGAATCACTCAGTTTATGAATTTCACATTCATATTCATTTGCTGATCGGTTCGGATAATTACGCTATGCGTATTACATTCACAAACTTAGAACATTGCTGAAATTGATATCGCTTCCATTAATCTCGTTTCAGAAATTTTATTGCACGCACTTGTAGCAGAAGTCCGCAGGATGCACGTAGTAGTTAGCCAGTGTGCCGTCGATGGGCGGTGTGGGCACAGAACACAATGTCCGGGCACAGGTTGTATTTACCGGTCTTGCAGAAGTCGCACATGCGGGCATGGAACTCCCTGGTTCGATGGCAACGCGATCACTGAAGTTGGAATATTGAATAAAATATATATAGTTAATATTGAGATTTTATCATTATATATCTGTGCGTGCGTGCGTGCGTGCGTGCGTGCGTGCATGTGTGTGTGTATACATACACACAAATTATACGTATGTGAGAATAAATGTCTGCACCTACAGTTTTATTATATCTGGAAAATTCAGAGCCTCACCGACTTTCAAGCTGGTAACATTCTCGCCCAGGGCCGACACAGTTCCACTTGACTCGTGACCCAGCACCATCGGTGAGGTGAGCACGAAGTCTCCAATGCGTCCATGCTTCCAGTAGTGGACGTCCGATCCGCAGATGCCCACCGAGTTCATACGAATCTGCACTTCTACAAAACAAGCACACGCGCACGTATTTATGATTTAGCGACAAGTGCTAGAAATTGAGATGCTAGAGCCGAGCTCTGGAACAAGATCTAGCACTTAGGCACTCTCAGACAACATCACGGCCGGCGGTCAGTTTTGGGCCCAGAACCCCCACCCAACGCGTGACGCGACAAGACACGACTGCTGGAGATGTTTTGTAATGGTCAGCTTACAAGTTACAGCATGCGGTGTTGGCAGACATTTTGCAGGCACATCACGCCCGTTGACGTCACAATGGATCACTAGTTTTATGGCACATATAATCCTAATAGTCGCGCACATGGAACTTAGCAGCACCTGCAATGCCAGAGTGGAGTACATGTGAACACCTGTACTGTGTGAGTGTGTACTACTACTAGTGACAGTGAGAGTGCATGCATGTGAACACAGGTCTGTACTTGTCACAGTAAGAGTACATGTGAACACCTGTACTTGTCACAGTGAGAGTGCATGCATGTGAACACAGGTCTGTACTTGTCATAAATGAGAGTAATCTGAAAAACCTGTTAAATCACAGTGAGAGTGCATGCATGTGAACAGGCAGGTCTGTACTTGTCGGCAGTGAGAGTAACACTGAAAAACCTGTAAATGCCACAGTGAGAGTGCATGTTTGAAAAAAAAAAAAACCTTTTTGGGTTTACTTGTCACAGTGAGAGTGCATGCATGTGAAGCAACAGGTCTGTACTTGTTGGGATAAAGAAAAAAAAAAAAGGTGAGAGTACTATCTGGAAAACCTGTAAATGCCACAGTGAGAAGTGCATGTGAACAACAGGTCTGTTACTTGTCGGCAGTGAGAGTACAATCTGAAAACCTGTAAATGCCTAGCAGTGAAGTGGCAGTGTGAAAAACCTGTACTTGTCCACGAGTCAGAGTGCATGTGAACACCTACAAATGTCACAGTGAGAGTGCATGTGTAGCCCCTGTCAGTGCTCGAAATAAGAAAAAAAATGTGGTTGTCCCGGCAACAATTTCTGGTTGTCAAACACAAATATCCCCACAAAATCTTATTTCATCACAAAAATATGATCAGAAAAACACTCAAGAACAGTGGCGTACGCCAGGATTATTTTAACAAGGACGGCGCCAAAACAGTCGAACCTGCGCAAAATAAGAGGATGACTTCAATATTTTTAAATGGCTGCCTCCGCCTCCCTCCTCCACACCCTAACATACGGCTCCTGCTACTCTCAGCTCTGCAATCTTTGTTTTTGGGCGCCATGGCGAAAAGGCGAGCATTTTGTTCATTGTTCTCCTGCTCATACAGATATGTTAAATTGTTTGCCAGTGCGGGGTCTAAAAATTCCAAGGAGAGGGGGTAAAAAACAGGAGGGGAGGTACAATGGGGTCCTCGCCGCCCAGAAAATTTTGAAAAATGTAGATCGTGCAGGAAAGATGGTATTTGCGGCCACCTTTGATACATGCTAGCAGCGCTTCATTCTGACTACAAACAGTTATTTTTTTAGTAGAACATTTTTTTTTTAAACCCTTGGATGCAACAATGGATCCCCCCCCAACTATGGCCACTAGCCAATAAAACATACTGTAGGAGTGATATCTTTAAATTTATTTTTATTCAACTGTAAACTCTAAAATTTTGCATGAATCAGACGGTCATGCGTGACTAGTTAATCTTCTATTGGGGGGCATGAGTCTTGACATAGCAAAAAAAAATTGGTTCATAAAAAAATGCAAGACCATCGGGTTCAAGGGTATTCACTCATGACCTTAATGAGTCATACTGGCAAGTAATATTATTATCAATTGTCCGACTTATGACCAGATCATTCAGAATGTATAGATACATATTATTGCAGTGTCGATCTCATATGAACTGGATACTAAAAAGGACATTTGGCTACAATATATCATATATAGTATATACCCAAATTAAATAAAAATTCAAGCTGGCACTGAATATATCATGGCAAAATGTGATTCCAGGTCTCATTGAATCAATGCGAATGAACCAAGAACATTTGTCTAAGAATCCAAACCCAGGCTCCTTTAATACATTGTCATTTGAATAGAATACCGTTTTTGTAACTAATAAAAATATAATTTTCTTCTCACCTTTTAGATAAGAACTGTTTCAAATTGAATATCATTCTACACTGGAAACAGCTATACTTACTGACTCACTGCATTTTTGTTTTTTAATTTTTAATAGATTTTGATTGTTAATGTTTTTGACATGGCTAGCTATAGAATATACCTCAATTATCGCTGACACACTCGCGTCCAGGTTAGTCAATGTTTACCTCTCAGGCAGATTCGATCATCATTGGCACAAGCAAATCTACGCAACAAACAAGTCATTTGTCTCTTCCAGAAAAAATCGTTTGTAGTGATCGATAAGTAGTTAACCTGTTTTACATCGCCGATGAAGACTTGTCACAGAGTCAAAATTTGTTGTCGCTACAACGAACGTGAGTTGTGAATAACGGCATACTTATTGGCGCCAAAGCACCCCTATTACACGGCATTGCTGACCAATGAGAAGCCGCAAAAACAACACTAGCTAATGGACGGCAATGCAGCGCCTGATCGACAGCCAAAAGAAATATCAATCGCGTTCAGAAAATATAAATAAAACGTGCGTTTTTTCGTACACAAATTTTCATTGTTGTCCACCGACAATGTCTCAGACTGGTTTAGGTTGNGCTGTGTTCACATGGCACTCTCACTGTGGCATTTACAGGTTTTCAGAATGTACTCTGCACTGCGACAAGTAGCAGACCTGTGTTCACATGCATGCACTCTCACTGTGACAAGTAAGGAAAAAAAAAAAAACAAAAAAAGAAAAAAAAAAAAAAAAAAAGAAAAAAAAAAAAAAAAAAAATAAAAAAGGGTTTTCAGCATGCACTCTCACTGTGGCAAATTTAGCAGGTTTTCCAGATGTACTCTCACTGCGAGGCAAGTACAGATCGCTGTGTTCACATGCATGGCACTCTCACTGTGGCATTTACAGGTTTTCAGATGTACTAGCTCACTGTGACAAGTACAAGACTGTGTTCACATGCATGCAGCTCTCACTGTGACAACAGACAGTGTTCAGGTCATGTACTCTTATGTGAGCAAGTTACAGACCTTGTGTTCACATGCATGAGCTCTCACTGTCACTAGTAGTAGTACACACTCACACAGTACAGGTGTTCACATGTACTCCCACTCTGGCATTTGCAGGTGCTGCTAAGTTCCAGTGGACTATAGGATTATAATGTGCAAAAAACTAAGTGATCCACCAAAAAAATGCGAGGAAAAAGAAGGATGTTGAGGTATTGGGATAAAGTGGGTTGTTAGAATACAAAAGGTCTGTACTTGTCGCAGTGAGAGTACATCTGAAAACCTGTAAATGCCACAGTGAGAGTGCATGTGAAAACCTGTACTTGTCACAGTCAGAGTGCATGTGAACACCTACAAATGTCACAGTGAGAGTGCACGTGCACACCTGTCAGTGCTCGAAATAAGAAAAAAAATGTGGTTGTCCGCAACAATTTCTGGTTGTCCCAAAAAATATCCCCAAATCTCCTATTTTCAATCACAAAATAATATGATCAGAAAACACTCAAAAACAGTAGCGTAGCCAGGATTTTTTAACAAGGGGGGCCAAAAACAGCGAACTGCGCAAAATAGTGGATGACTTAATATTTGGCTCCTCCGCCTCCCTCTCCACACCCTACGGCTCCTCTACCTCTCAGCTCTGCAATCTTTGTTTTGGGCGCCATGCGAAAAGGCGACATTTTTGTTCATTGTTCTCTGCTCACAAGATATGTAATTGTTCAGTGGCGGGTCTAAGATTCCAAGGAGGGGGGGGGGTTGAAAAACAGGAGGGGAGGTACATGGGGTCCTCCCCCAGAAAATTTTGAAAATGTAGATCGCAGGAGATGGTATTTGCGGCACCTTTGAGTACATGTACAGCCTTCATTCTGACTACAACAGTTATTTTTTTAGTAGAACATTTTTTTTTTAACTTGGATCAACATGGATCCCCCCCAACTACGCCACTGCCCAAAAACATACTGTAGGAGTGATATCTTTAAATTTATTTTATTTCAACCTGTAAACTTAAAATTTTGCATGAATCAGGACGGTCATCGTGACTAGTTAATCTTCTTTTGCATGAGTCTTGACATTAGCAAAAAAAAATTGGTTCATAAAAATGCAAGACATCGGGTTTCAGGGTATTCACTCATACTTAATGAGTCATACTGCAATAATATTATTATCAATTGGTCCACTTATGACCAGATCATTCAGATGTATAATAATATTATTGCAGTGTGACTCATATGACTGGATACTAAAGGACATTGGCTACAATAATCACTATATAGTATATACCCATTAAATAAAAATTCAAGCTGCAACTGAATATATCATGCAAAATGTATTCCAGGTCTCATTGAATCAATGCGAATGGAACACAGAACTTTGTCTAGAATCCAAACCTAGGCTCCTTTAATCATTGTCATTTGAATAGAATCCGTTTTGTATAAAAAAATATAATTTTCTTCTCACCTAGATAAGAAGTCTGTTTCAAAATTGATATCATTCTTAACAACTGGAACAGCTATACTTAGTGACTCACTGCATGTTTGTTTTTTAATTTTTAATGAGTTGATTGTTAATGGTTTGACATGGCTAGCTATAGAATACCTCAATTATCGCTGACACACTCCGTCCAGTTAGTCAATGTTTACCTCTCAGGCAGATTCGATTACATCATTGCCACAACAAATCTACCAACAACAAGTCATTTGTCTCTTCAGAAAAATCGTTTGTAGTCATCGATAAGTAGTTACCTGTTTACTCGCCGATGAAACTTGTCCACAGAGTCAAATTTGTTGTCGCGACGAACGTGAGTTGTGATACGCATACTTATTGGCCAAAGCACCCCTATTACACGGCATTGCTGACCAATGAGAAGCCGCAAAACAACACTAGCTATGGACGCAATGCAGGCCGATCGACAGCCAAAAGAAATTCAATTCGCGGTCAGAAAAATATAAATAAAGTGCGTTTTTCGTCACAATTTTCTTGGTTGTCCACCGGACAATGTCTCAGACTGGTTAGGTTGTCCGGCGCAAATTCTGGTTGTCTCAGACAACCGGACAATGCTTATTTGAGCACTGCCTGTACTTATCACAGTGAGAGTACATGTGAACGCCTGCAAATGCCACAGTGAGAGTGCATGTGAACACCTGTAAATACCACAGTGAGAGTGTATAAGGGCTCCTTCAAACCACATCACGTGCTTTCAAGCTTCTCTTGGTTGCGTAGAAATTACTGTGACATATATATTTGCTTTTAAAGTTTAAAATTTATTGATGCCTGACTGGAGGTATTTATGAACGGTAGAGCACATGTATATATATGCTATCAGACAAACTTAACCACGATAGTTTCCTTTCAATAAATATTTGTTTAACTTACCATGTTTACCAGGAAGCGGAATGCTTCTGTCTTCCTGCAAAAGAAGGTAATGATTCAAGTTGGGTAATATATCATTATATATACCATTTGGTGTGGCTTGTGGAGTGAGCATGTCTGGATATATGATAACATAGCCCTGTCAATGCCTTTTTGGCAAAGATGCATTATTCCATCTAGGTACACATTACATATAAATTTACTCAAAGTTTATTACATTTACATTTAAAGCAAGCATATAAAGCAAACATGGTTATTCTTCAGCATTTATGTGACTGTGCAAACAGTTTCCAGTTTGCATTTATCCAAGATACCGTGCAGCAAACATATTATATACTCATGCTTCTCAATACAAATTACAGAAGGCATCTTAGCCAATAGGGAAATTCTATCCAATAACTAATTGGAGTCAATTATGCTTATTGTAAGCATCTCCAACAAGCTCTGAAAACACATCATAATTATGCATGAATTTTCAAAAGCAAACGGCTGAAAATTAAGGCATGTCAGAGGATTTATGAGATGTCCCAAATTAGCTTCAGCTTTAAAGACATGTCAGACCCGACATGCATTAAAGGCCTGGAGTGAACCCTGATACTGCATTGGTTAGCATGTGGGTAATATGATTTTGGCCACTTTCCGCAAACAAAGGTGCATGTAAACATGTATATGTAATGCGAAATAGCTATGCCAAGCCACACTGATAAATGTACTGACGCTCTTGCTGCTGCTGAAATTTGAAGTGCTGGATGCACTCATGCATTGACAGGATTCCAGGGGTCAATTAAAAAGCAGAGCTGCCTTATAACCAAACTATATGAACACGAATGCTCTACAAACGCACTGGTCATCTAACAAGTTGGCTCGTCTCTTGGCAGGTCTATGGTTGTGGATTCATATTTAATAATGATTATTAATATTATGGCTAAAGTTGGACCAATATGCAGAACATAGCAGTTTTCGATGGAATCACGTGCATGCATAACCATTGTAACCCACGTGCACAGTCACTGTGACATAGGTCAGTGCCACATTCGGGTGTATTACTATCAAATTGGATATAGAAAATTCAAGCAAGTCTGAAATCATCATATTACATGGTACACGTTGTGAAAATGACATTTACTGCAAAGATGGCTATAACGATCATCTTCACTTATAGTACGCAAATGCAGACGTTATAACTCCGCTTTGCTAATCTGAGAGGGCGGGTTTATCCCCATTATACCCATTTATACCCATTACTGGGGTCTGCGTCGGCTCGAACTACTTCACTAAGACTACTTGAGTACTTCACTAAATTTAGCAACTGCAACACGCGCGTATAAAGCATGATGATGGGGGAGGGGGCGGTTGCCGCCCACACCAGATACTGTGACTGTCACTGTCAGTGTCACTGTTGTGCCCAAACTTGGAATCTTGCACAAACTTGGAATTTCAGCGCATCCGCAGTTTGGGCAACCAATCTTGAGATTGGGAAAACAGAGGTAAACAGAGCTTGCACAAACATATGATTATTAGGATTTCAAATGTTATATCATAAACTATAAGGTCGTATACCTTCTTTCCTCAATGTGTTTAATTGGCACCTCTGTATAAGTATTAAATGATTATAATAAATAATTGGATAAATATGAGATAAATCTCTTCCTAGTTTGCACCACGCACGCCACACACTCGCTATGAGCGGTTGTTGTATCACCGACTGTTTTTAGTTTGCCCAATCTTGAGATTGGTCAGCCAAACTAGGGAATCTGAAGTTTGGGCAGCACAATTGCTGCACAATCTCGAAATTGTGCAGATTCCAAGTTTGGGTACGACAGAAAAGTAATGTCGTAAGCCTGCTGTTTTCTGTCTAACCTTTGTACCGTGTCACTTGGTGATTTCTGCTTCTAAGCCTTACGTTGGTAGAGTGGAAGAAAACGAATTGCCATACACAAATTATTCGGATATGGAATCCAACCTGTCTTGCGTTCTCTACGGGCCAAATGATATTCGCATGGTAAGTCGAGGCGAAATCGGCCAGGCACCGTTTTCAGGCCAGGCCGGTTCTTTATTTGCACAAGCCAAGGTCGTAGCTAACTTACGCAGTGTTATGGTCGTATTACTATTAGTATTAGTATTACTAGTCTTAGTGAGCGACTTTTTTCACCGCACATTGCCGAACATTTCATGGAACATTGCTACAATAATGTTTTTGAGCAAAATGTTCGGCAATGTGCGCCGGGCTTAACACTAACAGTAACACTAACAGTGTCATGTGTTATTTACCATTACTGGCATTAGTACTAGTAGTAGTAGGCATTAGTACTAGTACTAGTACTAGTAGTAGTAGTAGTAGTAGTAGTAGGCGGTAGTGCCATTACTGATTAGGCTTGACGAGATCGTTGTAGATTTCGAAGCAAATGTCGAAACACTGTTACCTTTTTGTTGATCCTGGCTGGGACTGGCTATGCCTAATTACACAGTCAAGTTTTTAGTTTGCGCTTACAAATCAAACAAGCTCTTAGTCTTATTTACAACAATTTTACGAAACCATGCACCTGCACGACGCTATTAATCGCCTGAAGATGGCGCTACAAACGTTTATTCAGAAATAGAGGAGCATCGCAAAGTGCCTGCTGTGTTTTCGTTTCAGCCTAGCTTGCTCGAATTTTCTAGGTTCGTAAGGGGAACATTTGTTCCGAACAATGTTTCTGAAGATCGGAAATGTTTGATATCTCGAACATTGTTTGTCGAATGGTCGTCAATGTGCGCTGAATGTCGAACAATTCTAGGAACATTTGTAAAGTAGTAACCAATAGCAGCACGATATGTGGTCACATGATTTTTGTGCCCAATCATGCGCCCATCGCGTGACTCTTTACAACACAGAGCTACTAGACGGCGCCACGAGATTGTTCGCTGCAAAATGTTCGGCAATGTGCGCTCAGCAATTGTCCACCCGCACATTGCCAGACAAAAAGATTTGTTCGGGAAAATGTTCGGCAATGTGCGCCAGGCTTTAGTGTCACTGTTACTGTTAGTGTTACTGTTAGTGTTACTGTTACTGTTACTGTTACTGTTACTGTTAGTGTTACTGTTACACTTACAGTGTTAGTCACTTAGTGCCACTGTTATGTACACAGGCACTTGGAACGTCTCAATAAAAAAAGAAAGAAGGTAAATAATCACGAAATGTATTTAGTACCAAAGTCTTATTCTTAATGTTTCTCTACTCTATTTCGCCTATAATCACCTGTAAATGCCGGTCAAATGCTCATCTGCAACACAGAAGTA